ATGTATCAGTATTAGTATTAGTATCAATATCAATATTAGTATTTGTATTAGTATTAGTATTAGTATTAGTATTAGTATTTCTATTAGTATTAGTATTAACTTATTTAAAACATCCTATAAGCTCTTACATCTGATAAGATGTTTTAGGAGCTGAGAAGGAGTTAAGTATTATTTTAAAAATTATTTTTTAAGGTGTATATAGCTTATAAGCTACTTTTGGTGTTTATAAGTTGTTTAGGTGTTTGGAAATATAAGGTCTGTTTATTGCCATAATGACAAAAAAGAACATGACGTCATTATAACTGTTAAATTTATTTGACTCAAATACTTTTGTTTCTAAAATATGTTTATAATATTTACAAATTATTTTTTCAATTATATATTAAATAATAATATACAATTCTATATTAAATAAATTAAATGATTTTTTTTATGTTGATATGATATTTGACTATTTTAAAAAATAAAATGAAGTGTAATAAAATATGTTAATGAAACAGGTTTGAGAAAGTTTTAATTTTTTTGCTCCATTAATATATTATTATAAAATAAAAGTTCTTATTTTGTAAAGGAGATATAATTTATATTTTTTGAGAGAATAAGAATATTCGGATACTTTTATATACATGTAGAATATAAATAGAGAATATTTTTTTTTTCAATTATTATGATAATTCTTATAATATATTTTAACTAATTGTTAATTTTTTTTATGGGACTAATTATTAATATTGATTAAAAGAATACGTTGTTTTGATAAAATATATATGTTATTTGTATTCATGTAATATAATAAAGTATCTGAGGGTAATTTTGTATTTGAGTGTTTTAGTAAAGAAGCAAATAAGATCTATAGAAAAAATGTGGGATATATGTACTTTTTTAAAAACATGTTATAAGCTTCCTAACAACTTATTTTGGAAAAAAATAAGATCTTTTGTAAAAAAAATTTACCTAACACCTTTTAACAGCTTATAAGCTCTTAAACATCTTATAAGATATTTTTAGGAGCTTATAAGCTTAGTATCAATCTTGGTATATTAATATTATTATATCCGTATTAATATTAGTATCAGTATTAATATTAGTATTTGAAGTGACAGGGACAGGTATACGTGGCAATACTTTATGTAGACTTTATGTATGTTCAGTTTTATTTGCATCAAGTAGAATTTTCCACATGGATAATCGAGTATATTATTTTGTGTGCAAGGTAATTCTATACACAAATTCTTCGTAAGTCATATATTGAAATTGATGAATAACAGGTTATTCATCCTATAACGGTAGATTTGACCATAGCTTCGTGTCCTACTGTTAATTTCGTTTTACTTGAATTCAATTTATTACATATATTATTTTTTTTTTTCTCATTTTGAAACTAATCCCCATGCATCGTACAGGTGAAGTACTAGTTCATCACAAAGACGTAATCCAATTAAATTTAAAAAAAAATAAAAA